GAAAGGAAGGAAGAAAGAAAAAGGAGAGGAATGGGAAGAAATGGGAAAGAAAAGAGAGAGAGAAAGAGAAAAAGAAACGATGGTAATTACAAGCGTACATATTGGAGAGGAGTGGAGAGGAGAAAAAGGAAGGCGGATCCGTTTGCAGGTGCAGCCCGGTTTTAACGCAACCACGTTATCGGGCGACGGTATCAGGAAGCGCGGAAACAGAAACGAGAAACTAGAAAGTCTTTGTCCCACGACGGTGATAGGAAGCAGCGGTGACGTTAGAGGTGGGTATAGGTAAGTGGTGCTGGTAGTTGGAAATCCAATGGTGCCGGCGTACGTGTGGGACAGGGGGCAAGAGGAGGGCCCAGGGAATAGGTAGGTACCTTTGATAAGGAGACATTAGCGACCCGTATGTGATACCACGGTGTCTGATAAGCGACACACGACCAGCTACGGTTCTGTCTCTTGTTCGTACGTTCGCTTGTTTTTGACGAAAGTATCCACGAAAGTCTTCCTCTCTCTCTCTTTCTTCCTCTCTCTTTCTCTTTCTCTCTGTCTTACTTTCCTCCCTTTTCGTCTCCAAAAAGCGACCAAAAGACTTGAGAAGAAAGGTTCGATGCAAAGATTGAAGAGAAAAAGTCTTGGATTTGAAATTTGCATTCCGAATACACGATAATAAAGAGAATAAAGAGTGAAAAGACACGCGAGTTAAACGAAATCGAAATTGAAATCATGGCCTGTCATCGGAGGTAAGATCGTGTCGGCCGCGACATTCGTAATTCAAATTCAATAAACGCGGTCGGAAAGGGAGATCCCTTCCCTGTTACGTCAAGAAGAAAAAGTGTTTGGCCGTAATCGGTTGCCGGTTTAAGCAGGTGCGAGAGCGGCTCCCGCAATGGGAATATATATCGTTAACCGTAGACGCTATCGTATCGCTGACCACAACGGTAACGTTCCTCCTATCGCACCCCTATGTTAACTGCGAGTTCTCACCGAGGGTGGTTGACGTCCGTCTTTCGCAGGCTAGAACACGGTCCGATAATTTCTCTAATCTAGTGGAAGGGAGACAATTAAGGCTATACGTAAGGGGAAATCCGTCGGAACGAATCGACTCGAGTACGCACAAGTCGTGGGAAAGAGAAAGAGAGAGATCGAAGAAACTTGTCAAGAAGAATTCGTCAAATGACGATTCTTTCGAATAATCTTATTCTTTATCCGCGATAAATCAATTTGCACGAGCATTAAATCCGAACTTCGATCCCAAAATCTTTCTCGTCCAATACGAATATTCTCGAGTAAATCGATTTACCGATAAGCGAGCGGTCAAACTCCCAAAGGAAGGTCCCAAGGAGAAGCGTTTTACGCTCCTCGTAAACCATACCACGCCTCCGTTTCCCATGATACGCACACGTTCGCACGTCGTTCCACTTCTCGCCGGTATGCGCGCCACTTCCACGCCACGTGACAAGGTATCGTCCTCGTTGGATGTGCACTTAGCCGGGCAGAGACGCGCGCGAACGCGAGCCAGAGCCACCGACACCCACGCATACGCGCCTCGCTCGCCCCCTGTACACGAGGTGGTCCGCGCGGAAACGAACCAGCTATCTGCACCGTGCCATCGAGGCGTTCCTCCTCTCGCCTATAATGCCTAGGTGTCCATTACATCTAGCCAAGCGCGGTGAAATAATAAAACGCGTCGAATGCCGGCGCCCTCGATCGGTCTCGAGTGCGCGCGAGAGAAA